TTTGGCTCGGTTAGGGTTTTTCCAATCCATCGTTGTCTTTTGATACTATGAAAACCCAGACATTTCTCTGAAAACAGAGGGTCATTACAATATCATCTGAACTAAGAAAACTAGGCAATGGAACCTATATGTAAACAGCCATTAGTAATCTCTAACCTTCAAAGAAAGCTGTCAGGTAATTAATTAGCTCAGTACTGTGCTGTCATCCTTCAGAGAGATTAAAACATATAACGCTAGTGTGACTGAGTCCAAAAAGCACCAAGCACTTGTAAAGTCAGTTGCCACAGTGCTATAAGACAAATAATTCACAATGTTGATTTCTAACCATGTAAACTTGTAACATTATGAATAGCCATTATATAAATGCATTTCACTGTGATGTTCCTGTAACAGGGGCCACTAATATGAATAGCTGTTTGTAATAAATAAAATTTTTAGAAATCGTTGAGCAGGATAGGAATACTTTGTGATAAACCACAGCTACTCCGAGCTCTGCAGGATCGGGACCATCTGCATGCTGCTAATGTTAGCATGTTTCTTACTGCGTTTTCCTCTTTTGTGAATGGGGGGTGGGTGATGACACACAGTACAATTCAGCAGGGAAACCTAATAATTATCTTACATGATAAACTCTCCCAACAGCAATGATGTACTCACTTTGGCAGCACTAATGACTGTGGCAGTGTAAGACTGAATGTTGTCTCCACAGGCTCCACCACGGGATTGATGGCATCGGATCAGCTACAAGAAGAAAGACAGCAACCAAGTAACTACTATTAAACTACACAAACCCATAACCCATTACCATAGCTCTTATTTATCATGTACAGTGGTGTGTTTTTTCCTACAAATAGCAAAAAGCCCTGCTGAGACACTTAACCCCTTTTTATAATCTTCTGGGTGCCACCCAGACTGTCGCGTACTCAACTCCAGTTTTCAATTACAAGATGAGTAGTCACTAAGAATTCATAAACTTTGAAATGGTGGGATTTTTGGTCTGGCAGCAATACCACAAATAAATTTAAATAAATATAATCAAAAGCTTTAGCCTTGTATATGTAACATTAAATATTAGACATTCTAAGAATCCGAGTGTGGCTTTCCCCTCCTTTTTATGACTAGTAAGCAAAGAAATGACAAAGGAAAAGAGCTACTTTAAACTTTACATTTAATAGATTAAAGGAATGTACATAGGGTTTACTCTATATGGCCTTCCTTCAAAATTAATAAATCAAGACTCTTCTACTTGCCATCAACCTACAAAAGCACTTTTTGCCTTTGAACCCTAACAATAGAATCTGTGCCTCTGACTAAAATGGCAAAAAAATACAGATATTTGTTGCTTGTACACTGAACATGTTGCCTGTTTAACTGTTTTAGCTAAAAGGAAATTAAAAAAATCACTGCAAGATGTATTTGTTTCTACAAGCTTTCCTTTCCTGCTTATATTTAAGTATCTAAATAAAATAGTTAAGCTAGGGAGAAAGGGGAAGTCCACAGTGAATATACCTGGGAACATACAAGCCATTTAAATTCCTATTGTGACACAATTCTTTCGCTGATCAGTGACTTATATTTTTGGCAGCAATACTTTTCAAATCCCAGGTTGACTGGTTAAGTTTTACAAAACCACACAGGCGTGGCACTAAAGGAAAGGCAGGCGTGAATTCGGAGACGAATCAGTTGTGCTTGAAAAGGTATAATGACAAATACACCTCTGAAGTCTGCCTCTGATAATTTCTGGTTCAGCTCTAGAAACAGCTATTCCAGTCACAGGTGAAAGGGAGAAAAAACATCTGCTTTGAAATAAAAATAAGGCATTAGAAGCTGAATTTAAAGTTTTCAAACACTTCAAGCTTTAAATACGCCATCAATTCTCTGGCCTAGGGCTGGGTAAAAAGAGCGGTAATTTTTTTGCTTGGGATCTCTTTTCTTCTTTTGCCTCTAGAAATAAGAAAATTTTTTTCCAAAGTTTCATGGTTTTTCCTGGAGCCTTTCAGCAAAGATGTTAAAAAGCAGGCATTTTAATGCTATTTCCTAATCCACAAAGTGCATTGCTGGGTTGTTTCAGACAAGCCCACTGGCTCTGTCCAGACTCAGTTTCCCCAAACCGAATTTAGGAATCCTCACTTGCCCGCCTTTCAGAAGTGTCTGTAATTAGGTGCTTTAAACTTCTAAAATGCAAAATGGGTTGGTTATTGAGTGACCTCACTAAAAACACATTTTGATAGCTGTCTTCTCTGCCTACACTACTCACATACTTATGCCTTCCAAGTTCATGAGCTTACATCAAATGTGCAGAGTAAAGATGTGACATACATGAATACCCAAACACAACCAGTGTGCACCAAGGATTAGGTCTGTAATCGTTATGCAAGTCCTCTTATAGATCATCTTTTCACATAGCTTTTTTTTGAGACTTTCTTTTCTTTTTCCCCCCTATATATACAAAAGCTAGAAGGAAATCTAGAACCAGTAAAGCATTGTTTGAAGTTAAACCTTTCCTTACCTTATTTTCTGCGTAAGCAAGCCAACGGCTTCCAAGAGCAATAGGGTTCATGTTTGGCCCTGGACAAGGATAGCAGCCTGAAAAGTTTTAAAAGGCAACATTGAGAAATATCTTAATGAATTCTTAAAAAGAATTTTATTTATTGCCAAGAAAAAAAAAAATCTAAACAAAAACCTTTCAATTGCTAATATCACTCAGTAAATGCTTGCATTTTTGTTCCTAAAGATAAGACTGTGGTCAGATGAGCTATTTTGAACAGTTAATTATGTGTAAATACCCATTTCTCCTTATGTTTGCATTTTTTTAAATGCCATTTTGATACAGTGGGGTGAGGGGAATATTTAAGTTTGAGTGGATTAGTTCTGTATCTTCACATTTTAATTAATTTTACTTTATTGACATCCTTCTATTGGTCACAGTTTCACTTCACTTCAAGCTCTTCTAGATTTTTGTGGGATGAAAGGGTGTATTTTTTGTTCTTGTTTTTAATAATTCTATATACAGGCCCTTAGCCTTTCAAAATACTTCTGCACACACTTAACTTTACACAGTGAGAAAATTCATAATTCCTTTCAAATCTGTAGCGAAGTTTCCATTGTTCACCTGCTTTCATTTCCTTTTTATTATCATTAAAATTGATAAATACACATGCATAAAGATGAACATAAAATAGAGAACTATTCCTGAGGATTAAAAGGTGTACCTATAATAGAAAGCTACTGAAAATAGCTGTGAACATAAATATGGCAAGACTGAAAATGGACCAGGCCCATGTTAAATGCCATTTAATATCCAAAATCTAAGTTAAAAAAAAAAACAAACAAAAAAAAAGGCAAAAAAACTTCAAAAAACAACCATCAAGAATATCACACTATTAACTACTAAAATTAACAATACAGAACTTTAAATTATTGAAAACAATTAGATAATGCTTAAACCTAAGTGAAAGCTTAAGTAATCTACAATTAAAAGCAGCAGGGCGACCCTCATCCTAATTGCTATTACTGTTCTATTTCCATGTCCTGTTTCCCTTCCTTTGTTCTTTGTCATTTTAGATTAAACTCTTTTGGGTGGACGGGTGCTCTTTCTACATCAACATGTAGCCCTTGTCTGTATTCAGCGCTCAAATCCTACTGATGTATCTGAACTTTAGTACTCTAGCCCCGACACGGTGACTGTTGGCGCGGCGTGGTTCCAGCAGGCTGATTTCAGCCGGATCCTCTGTTCAGTCTGAAAGTTCAGATGCTGAAGTCACACAGATGAAGTCACAAAACTGTTCACTGATTAGGGTCCCGATAACAAGACTTAAGCTTGAGTGTTCAAACTTAAGCTAGTAAACTAGCCACCGTCAGCATAATGCCATATACTAGACCTAAATCCGATCTGGTACACCAAAACATAAAGAAAGAAATACTGCATAAGGGGGGAGAGAATGAGGGGAAAGAGGGGACTATCAAGCAAATGGTTAATCTCCGTTCTCATCAGTTCTTAGGCTAATATATACAATTTAATAATTCGTATTGTCCCACTGGTTGGCCAAGAAACAAAACGTCTAAAATCTTCTAGACACGTGTGTCTCATTTAAAGGAGCCCTGGTTAGCTGATCCTGTATCCCAGGCAGAAGGAGGACTGAGATCAGGCAAACAACGTTTTAGAAGAACACGTATAACCAACAACTGCATTTTATTGCATAAAATCCTACAGTGCTTTCTGAGAAGCAAAATAAAAAGAAAAAAAAAAAAGACACAGCTAGCTAAGCTTCTGTTTCCCCAAAGGCTGCTGTGTCACACTCTTGTTACTGATCTGCCAAGCACAATGAGAAAAAGCAAACCTATTCACCACCTTCTTATTGCGAGTATCAGGGTCTTTTCAAACAGGCCCTGAAATAGCACAGAACATGTAGTGAGGACAACAGACTTTTAAAAGTTTAATGGCATTATTTTTAATGCTTTCGAAACAGTGAAAAAGGTGCGTGGGAGCGCGGTAACTATAGCACACAGGTGTGAGTTTCAACTGACATTTGACAACACTTAAAGACCCATTTGTTGGTATTTTGCTGGGCACGTGCAGAAACAGCTGCTATACTGTTCCTGCTAAGATAAACGGCTCTTACTTCATTTTTTAGAGCAGAGCAGTGAGGGTATTGCAAAATTTGAAAGATCATAGCAAGCTATTTCAAAGGTCATAAAGCAATGTAAGGAGAAAAGCAGCAATTCATCCAATTAAAACCATCTCAGGCCAGGAAAGTAAAACCAAGTGAATATTTTGTAAGGCCTTATCACTGCCTTGATCTCAGGAAGGAAAACGAATTCTGAAGAGATGATGCCACAATTGTTATTGCATTCCAGAAGTGCATAAAATGTGGGTAACCAGAGCCTCTTAAGGAACAAAGCAAGCAAAAAAAAGAAAAAAAAAGGTTGTAAATACAACCCTAGGTTGTAAATACAAACGTGTTCTTCCGATGACATTATAGATCAGGCCCAGTAAGGTTTTAATGCTGCCTGCTGCTTTGGCAAATCTTATCTGGGTCAGCAAAGACATTCAGGTCCCTCAAATTTTATTTATTTTTCTTCCCTTTTACGTATAAAATATAGCATTAAAAGCTGTCAGATGATAGCCCTCATCATATAAATCTCTCCAGTGACTTTAGAATCAGTCACTTGCATTTCCCAAAGTCTGCAAGCACCTCGTAACATCCTTGCAGCAGAAAACCAAAGGAGTATCAGCCAACAGATGCGCTGTAACGACAAAATCCAAGCTATTCAACAACTCATAATAAAAAGAAATGTCTTGCTTGGAAAAAGGAGCTGTTCTCAATTACTTCAGTGAGCTGAAGTAAATTAAGAACTGCAAAAAGCATTACACTTCAAATGAAAAATTAATCAAATAAAAAAGTTACTCAGAAAAACTGCAACTGTCTTCACCAAACCCACTGTAGGCAGTCTGTTCCATGAACTGGACTCAGTCAATCAGACACCGCTCCACACACAAATCAGCCAATGCTAATAATAACCTCCACAGAGGTCAACAATTCAACTCGGTACGAAACTCTACTCTCCCAATACGAAAAACAGCGTAAAAAAAGAGCTATTTCCTCCCTTTCTTTTCTTTGCAAGTCTCTGCATTTTGGAAACTTGCAGCAGTACAAGGATAAACAAAGGGTTATACTTTATGGGAAGGAAAAGCAAATTGTTTTTCTGCTTTCCAAAAAAACAGCTGGAGTCAGCAGAACATCATCAACTAGGCAAACGAAAAGACAGACACAGCGTGACCTATCAAGCTCGGCCATCCAATCATTACCAGCCTAACTCTCTTAAAGATTAACCTCTATTTCTACTAAACTTCAAAACAACTGAGGAAAAATCCATTCTAAGCAACAACAGCAGCAATTTTAGCATGTTTACAATAGGAATGAACATAATGAGAATGCAGAACTAACTGTCAAGACGACCAAAGTTTCCAAGTTTTAATGACAGTATGGAGAGGTCATCCAAGAAAAGATCACTCGGGGAAAGTCCTTCCAAAAGTACAGCAAATCAAGCAAGTACTAAAAAACATCTGATCTTAGCGTACACTTTACTGGGACTATCATCACAAAAAACATAGGCGAAAACCTACTGGAAACTATTTTAAATGGTTTTAGTACACAGCTACTCTGTCCCTCTGTGCTCTATAATGACACACAGAGGAAACGCACTACTTAAAGCCGTGAAAAGACAAACGTAGAAAACTGCAATTCAGACTTTCAAAATAGAAGGGCAAGTTTTTCTGCTAAGTTGATTAAGTTCCTACGCCCAAGAACTCCAACCGGTGCTGGCCTAAGCAACACTGATGAGTGAGGAACGGGCTCCAGGCTCCCTCCAAACAGCTGGCTGACAGCCGAGGATTTCACAGGCAGCACCCTGGTACCTCATACTCTGTGCCTTGGTTTTCCCATTTCCAAGATGCAAGTGTTTGGATTCAAAGATGGTTTCAGCTTAATACTTCTGTACTGACCTTATACATTTGGGTTTACTGAGAATACAGGAATCCTAGAAGTTACTTAAAAGTTCTCCAAAAGCTATACAAATGTTTCCTTAATGAGTAAGCAAAAAGAAGGCACGTTTATTTTACCTTATTTTTTAATTACTTCTTCAAAAATCTCTACCACCCTTTGGAGATTCACATCCATATGCCCATAATAAACCGAAACAGCTCCTCTACTCATCTCTGAAAAATTCATTCAAAAGCCACTTCTCCAACTCCAGATCTTTCCATTGGTCCATGCTCCTACAGAAAACTAAGACTCCAGCCCTTTTCTTAAATTGTTTTCAAAAAACTCACCCTCTAGGTTCAGTAATGACAGTGTGAATACACAGACAGCAGCCAAGAAGAGAAAAGCAACACATTCCTCTCCTCCCACTTAGCTTTCAAATAAACAGCACACTGGGAAAATACTGTTAAAAGGAACAGGGCCATCAAAAGTCACGTCAGCTATAACAGAGATTAAGCCAATAAATCGCAAAACATGCCACTCTATTGGGGCAGCTCTTCATCAAGCTCCACAGCTTTTTCATGACAAAAAAAAAAAGCTTAAAAAAAGATACATACACATACACACACACACACACATATATATATATACACATACACCCAAAAGCTCAGTATGGGATGGAGAGTCGGGGGCTAAACACTGCAGGGATTCCTGATATGCATAACAATTAGGCAGTTTGCTGCTTCACATCCAAGCCCTCAATCTGTGGAATCCCACAGGCAGTTAAAAGTCTACAGGCACCTAAGCTTGTAGCAGCTTAGTTCTTCAGGAGGACCAGAGCTGTGCATCTGCTGTCCACGATACTCATACAAGCCCAATCAATATCTTCAGAAGTGCTCTGCATTTGTGCCCTTCTCATTCACGAAGTAGGGATATGTATGTGCCCTAAGGGACTCTGCAGATACACCAAATACAATACGTACCAACATGATCTGTTTAAAAAAAAAATATCCAATGCACATGGAGGACCAGTATTTAAATAACAATTTTCCCCCAGCAGTGAGCACCATCACAGTAAAGGCTGTGATTTTTTCCACTTGGTCC